CCCACCTCTCTCAGCCCCACCACCCCACCTCCCATTCCGGAGGCATTGGCGTGTTCCGTTCGTGGAGGTTGGCCGAATCATCATCCCCGCGCTCCGAGCGCAACGCGCCGACCTCCGCCATCCGGGCGCATCCCCCCGGTCCTGGCCGCCGGTCCTACAATGCAAATGACGAGCCAGCCAAGAGGCCCGGGCCGGGCCGGGAGCCGCGAGCACCACGGTCACTCCGCTTGTGAAACTTAGCACGCATTACGTTAAGCGCCAAGAAGTGCTGGGCCGTGGCCTGGCGTGCCCCCCGCTCTGCTGAAGCACCGAGAAGGGGGACCCAAGAGAGGGGCACCAGCAAAAACCAAACGTACGACACAGGTAGGGTCAGGAGAGGCACGGTCACGGCCTGCTAGCACTGTCATTTCACCCAGGACTGACGGCGTAAAGTATTTTCGCACACGCGCCTTTTTAAAAAAACAACCACCCCCCCTAAAAGAACTCATTTTTATTACCTGTGTGTCACATTATTTCGTTTTGCAGCGGGTCGCTAAATATTGTGTGACAGCCGACGCGACGCGCTTTGCCCTTTCCTAAGCGCCACAGCGGCGTGCGACTGACTATATGCGGGCGCGAGTGGACGAAATGGCGCCGGGTGACGAGCGGGCGATAAACAGCCGGGGACCTGACGGGGACCTGCCGGGGACCTGTCGGGACCGGGCCGGGACAGGTGGCGGGGCGTCGTAAATGTCGCGCCCCACATTGCCCCGCCCCGCCCGTGACCCGTGCGGCGTGACCCGCGCCCCGCCCGCGCCCCCACGTCATCGCCGCCAAGCTCAGCCGCCAGCCTCCCGCGCTCCAGCAGTCGTGGCACATATTGTGGGGACAGGTGGCACACGAATTTCGGGCCGTGTCGCGCCGCAGTCGCAGTGGCCTGCAGAGGGGGCGGGCCGCAGGTGGTGGTGCCCGTTTCATGTTGGCGTTCACCTTGAGCACTCTGGCAGCACGCCCCGACCCGACCCGCCCCTCGGCCCCCGTCAGCCCCGTCAGGCTTGTGCGCCCGCCCGCGCACTCTCAAAATGAAATGTTGTTTCGCTTTGCATGCTGGCGCCCACCCACCCCTGGGATTACCCTGCTGTGTGCTGCATGAGGCTGCGGGGCCACGCCTAAAGGTGACCTCCTCAGCTGACCTGAGGTCACCTCGGGTCACTTCGGGTCAACTCAGGTGAACTCAGGTCATCTCAGCCGATTCCATACCCAACTGACAGTCCCACCCATCAGAGCCACGACAGGCGGCTCGAACTACTTGTCTTCTCCAGATGACGGGGCACGACGGCGCGGGTCGATGACCGCAGTATAGTGATTTAGGACCCTGTCTCTAACCTCGTCCGTCTCTCTTGTTGCAGGCGAGCCATGGCGGGCGTGTGGCTGGGGGCGTTGGCCTTTGCCGCGCTCCTGTGCGACGCCCTCATCCTGGGGGGACCGGTGCCGGTGCCCCAGGCGGCGGCGGCGGCGACGACGACCACGGCACAGCGCGTCCACGACGCCAAGCAGCTGGCCAAGTACACGCAGCAGCAGCTGGACGCGGCCGAGCTGCGCCTGCAGGAGGCCAAGAACGCCCTGATCAAGGTGAGGCGCCGGGGGACGGCGCTCCTCCTCAGCCGCGGTGCACGGCGGCGCGCTTCGTTAGGCGCGTGCGTGCGTGGAGGTCTCCGACGACGGCGAGGTCTCCGGCCGCCGGGCGCGATACCGGCCCGTCGAGCACGCGCGTCCGCCGGGACTGCCTACCTCCCGGGCGGCCTCAGGGCCGCGCGCCGCACCGCGCCGCGCGCCGGGGCTGGCTTGGCAAGGCGGGGCGGGGCGTCGTGGGGCGGGGCAAGGCGGGGCGAGGCGTGGCCGGGCCAGCCGGGCCGCGAGTCGGTGTTGCATAACGAGGTGCAGGCCCGCGCCGCTCCGCGCCGTGCTGCACTAACCTTGGCTATTGACCCCATACCGACAACAGGTTCTCTGCAGGACCGCTCGGCTCGGCCGGGCTCGGTGCTCGCCGGCAGGCCGACCGAGCGGTCTGGTCGCTCTGATCTCATTCTGGCGGGCCGCCGCTCGCGCTCCCCCCGCTGGGCTCGGGTCCAGCACCACCACAGCAGGGCGGCCCGCAGCCCTCCCCGCCAAGGTCGCCGACCCGCGGCCCCGCGGCGGGCAGGCGGGCGGCAGACTCCCCATTCATTTACGCCTCGCTGCACGTTGTGATATCATTAATCCGGCAGGTCGTTGTAATTGATCGCCATTTTTGAAAGCCTTAATTGATTGCCATTCTTGTCTTGTGTTTTTTGCAACCCCCGCTACTAGAATGCGCAGTGTGATGCAAGTGGTCTGCACACAGTCCTCGCGCAGCAGGCGGCTATCGGCTCCACACACCGGCCCGCCTAGACCTAGGGTGTAATCAGGGAGGGAATGGCGACTTGTGCGTGCCATTTCGATCATTTATTTTTTACCAGGCAACAGCGCACTCCATGTCGGCGAAAGTGAACATTAAGTCTTGGCGATTTGGCAAACGGCGCGATCACTACTCTCGACGGAGTGCCACGCCATGCATGCATGCATTTGGAGCTGCCAATCTCTTTTTCTGCCCGTTGTGCTGTGTATTAACGGGCG